TCTCAGTCTTCGTTGTCCCCTCCTCCTTCTCAGACTTGGGCCTCTCGTCGCTCCCCTCGTGCTCGTCCCTCGTCTCCTGTTCCCTTCACTGACCTTCGTACTGCCTTACTTCGTTCTAGTCCACCTCGTCCGTCTCTGTCTGTGCTTCCGTCTCCTCCTGAGTCGGCTCTCACTGCGTCGCTCCCTACTCCTGTCACTGACTACTACCGCACGTACCGTCCTCTTCTCTCTCGTGTTCTCGCCTCACTTGTTACTCACCCTCGTGCCTCTGTGTCCTCTGTGTCCGCTCTTACTGCCGCAGTCACTGAGTTTGCCTCTACCCGCCGCCTTGACTTCGCCACCGCTCTTGTGGCTGCTCCTCCTTCCAGTCCTCTGGCCGTCGGGGGTGTGTCTGCCCTTGGCTGTGACGCCCTAGAGGACAGGCAGTTTGAGCTAGAGTTCCTGGCGGCCGCTTCCCCTCATCTCTGTGCCATGCTCCTCGCCCCTGAGGGTGACCCCGACGCCCTTGACATTCCGACTCCTCGCACTTACGCTGAGGCAGTGTCAGGGCCTTGGGCCTCTTAGTGGAGAGCTGCCATGGACGCAGAGATGGCCTCCTACAGATCCACAGGCACCTACGTCGATGAGGTTCCCCCTCCGGGGGCGAACGTAGTCGACGGCATGTGGATCTACAGGGTGAAGCGGCCACCGGGATCTCCTCCGGTCTTCAAGGCGCGCTACGTGGCTAGAGGTTTCAGTCAGCGCGAGGGAGTTGACTTCTTTCAGACCTTCGCGCCCACCCCGAAGATGACCACTCTTCGGGTGTTACTACACGTAGCAGCACAGAGAGACTACGAGTTACACTCTCTCGACTTCTCTACTGCTTTCCTTCAGGGCAGTCTTCACGAGGAGGTCTGGTTGCGTCGTCCCTCTGCCTTCACTGGCTCTTTCCCTCCTGGGACCCAGTGGAGGCTGAGGCGACCGGTTTACGGTCTTCGTCAGGCTCCTCGTGAGTGGCACGACACCCTGCGTTCTACCCTGTCTGACCTTGGGTTCCAGCCGTCTTCTGCTGACCCGTCGCTGTTCGTTCGTCGTGGCACCACACCTTTCTTTGTTCTGGTCTACGTTGACGACCTTGTTTTCGCCACCCCTGACAGGGTTGCTTTGGCACACGTGAAGTCCAAACTGCAGAAGAGACACACCTGCACTGATCTTGGTGAGCTGCACCACTACCTTGGCCTGCAGATCACCAGGGACAGAGCTGCTCGCACCATTACACTTTCACAGTCGCACATGGTGCAGCAGGTCCTTCAGCGGTTCAGGCTTCAGCACTCCACAGTACAGCGCACACCTCTTGCTGTTGACCACAGACTCACTGGACCCTTTCCTGACGAGCCGTTCGAGCCTAGTGGTCCCTACGCAGAGCTTGTGGGTTGCCTCATGTACCTGATGACTTGTACTCGCCCGGACCTCGCCTTCCCTCTCAGCGTTCTTGCGCGCTTTGTTGCGCCAGGGAGACACCGTCCTGTTCACTGGACAGCAGCTGTGAGGGTGGCGAAGTACCTAGCGACGACGTCAGGCGTGGGGCTAGTTCTTGGAGGGCAGCAGTCTGTCGTACTTACTGGTCACTGTGACTCCTCTTACGCTGACGACGCTGAGACTCACAGGTCTACTCAGGGGTACTGTTTCAGTCTGGGTTCTGGAGCTGTTTCCTGGCGGTCCACGCGCTCCTCTTCGGTCTCGACCTCTACAGCTGAGGCTGAGATCTACGCTGGTGCCATGGCGGCACAGGAGCTGCGTTGGTTGACCTTCTTGCTCACCGACCTTGGTGAGCGGCCGAGCTCTGCACCGACCTTGTTCACTGACAACAAGGCGTCTATTCTCCTTTGTCGAGAGCCACGACTGGAGAGCAGAGTGAAGCACATTCACGTCAGGTACTTTCTTCTGCGAGAGTTGCAGAGGCGTGGACAGGCTCGCTTTGAGTTTGTGGAGTCCGAGGCCAACACTGCAGACATCTTCACCAAGGCGCTTCCGCCTTGTGACCACCAGAGGTGCTGTGTGCAGTTAGGCCTTGTTGACACTGGTTCTCGTGTTGCTTAGACTTGAGTGTACTGTTTACTTTGCTTTCTATATATCTCTGTTACTTCTTGGACTGGCCTTGTGGCCACTGTTGTTTGTGCTCAGACTGTGTGGTGACGTTGTGATCCACCCTGAGCTTTGTTTCTTGGACTGGTCTTGTGACCGTACTCGTTTGGTTCTGCTAGACACCCCTCACTTAGGCTATGGGGGTGTGTCAAATGTTGTAGCCTATAGTGAGGTTTGTCTTAGGGGGTACAAAACTTAGGGTTAGCTATATGTACCCCAACCAACATCAATGCACCATCCATTCTTCATTCTGACACCCACCAACACTACCTTACTACGTGCGAACCTTCATGAGTAGATCCTGGGCTACGATCAACTTCTGATCGCAGCACCCTCCTTTCTAATCAGGGTTCAAGGTAATCGCAGCCCTGAATCAAGGGGTACAATTCTTTGTTCACTGACAAATTCAGGGTAAAAAATAATACTCTGTTTGGGCAGGGTAATCATGTGGTTTGTTTAGCCATTCTATTGTTTTCATCCCTTATGGAAATAGTTGATTTGTTAAACTCTCTGATTGGTTGACAACCCCAGGAAATGCAAAAACTTTCATTCTCTCGTTGATTTCCCAAAACTGGTAGACAACACTTAAAGCTCCGGTATACATTGGATTGGTTCAAAGTCCTTAGGAGCTTGAAAAGTTCCCCCAAAACTGTGAGGCACACTGTAAGTAAAACTGTGAACCTCCCTGACAAATGTATATTGGAGCTTTAACTAAGCTTCGATAGGAAGATTGTGAAATTGTTGAGCTATTCCGACACACCTGTATGTGAAAATTTTATGTTTTTTTGAGAATTATTGTAACGCTATCGGAGCAGTCCCGGTAGAAGCGTCTTCTCAGCCCATAAAAAATCCCCCACAGCCTTACCCAATCGTTCCGACGATCCCCCTTCGAGCCGCTTCCACCTCCAGAACGTCGAGAAGAGGTCCTAGTTTCCTGTCGCTCTCACTTTTCCGGAATTTCCACGCTTCGGGGCTCTAATCTGTATGGCGAAACGCAGCGTTTTCGCGGCGCTGGTTACCATCGTGTTCGCGGCCATGGTCGTGTTACCGTCCCGTGGCGTCATAGCAAACCTCATCTTCGGCTCGCGCGTCGGTTCGCTTGCTCGCTCGCTCGCATCCTCATTGGTTCGCTCGCTTTCTCACTCGCTCGCCTCACTGTCGTGTGGTTCCAGAGGTGCCTTTGAGTCGAATCGAAGCATCGCACTGTCGTGTCACCATGCTGCCTTGTGGTTCACACCCCATCATGATGATCATCGAAGCACTCCCCCCTCCTCCACCCGCGAGTGGCACTCGCTCGCAAGTCACTCTCGCCGATGCGCTCGCTTGCTCGCGCGTCCGTTCGCTCGCATGTCGTTTTGCGAGAATTTAAAAAACCGTACGATCGCTCGCACGCTCGGCGCTCCCTCGTGGATTCACAGCCCATCGTCGACCCATTTGCCCCTCTCCTCCCACCGCGCTTTCCTCGTCGATTCCCCGCCTTTCCACGCTGCCTCTCCCCTCTTCACCCTCCTCCTTGACTTGACCTCATTGGCTCGCTCCCCTGCCCCTATCAGCCCGCTCCCCTTGGCGTTACTGCAGGCCAGACGACCTTCTTTGCAGCTCAAACTCTTCCGCAAGTCACACCCATACTTCCACCTCCTCCTCTGCTTTACCTGTCTGTCCGCACCTCTGCCCATGTCTGCTCTGCCCGCTCCTTCGCCTCACCGCAGACAGCAAGCAGCCCAATCTCTCGGTCGTCTTTTGGCCGCCCCCCTCCCCGCCCTCCTCCCCTCCCTCCCCGCCCTCCTCCTCCTGTCCGCCCCGCCCTTTTCTGCCCGCTTCCAATCCAAGTCACTTGCAAAGAGAAGGCTGCAGCAGAGGAAGCAGAGTAGCAGACCGGCAGCAGCAGTTGCAGCAGCAGAAGCGGCTGCGGCAACAGCAGCAGCAGAAGTGGGGCATGGGAGCTCCTAGGCTAGGTGCAGCTGTGGGTGATGTGTGATGACAGGTGAGGTCTGGTAACTTGCTCCCCTCCTGTCTCTCTCCCCCGTCCCTGTATGTAGCCTGAGGGTGGGAGCACCAGAGCAAGCGCGCTGGAGTGAAGTTTACCTTGCACTCACCTCCTCTCCTCCCTTTCCCCTTCCCTCCCAGCAGAACCCTTCCTGGACAACAGGGGAGCTCCGCCCTTGGTCAACACCCCTCCTCCCTTCCTCTCCCCCCCCCTTCCCAGCAGCCGGAGGCACCATGGCACTCTGCATGGCTCTGGTAGGTAGATAGAGGTAAGGAGCTCTGGGGATGAAGGCAGGGGGTTGGGTGGCGAGCATGGGTGAGTGAAGGGAGAGGGGGCTTTAAAAGCACAGGTAACAATGGCAAGGGAAGAGGTAGAGAGCTTGAGGGAGGACGAGTGCGGGAGAGTGGAGAGGGAGAGGGAGATAGAGGAGGAGAAGAGGGTGAGAGCGGAGAGAGACGCGGATGAAGCAAAGAAAGGATTAGAGGAGAGGGAGAAGGGGCTGGAGCAGGGAACGAGCCCTGGAAGTGGTAAGGAAAGAAGCAGGGTTAGTGAGTGGAAGTGAGAAGTGTGAGTGAGGAGTTGAGTGAGGTGTAGAAGAAGAAACGAGAACCGCAGGGAATGAGGGGTGAGCTAGACGGTGGATCAGGGACCTGGAGGCCACAAGCAGGGACCTGGAAGGTGCGAGGAAAGATCTGGGAAGGAGCAAAAGGGAACTGAAGGGAAGCAAGGAGGATCTGGAGAGGGTAGAGACGGAGTTGAAAAGGATAAAAGGTGGAGCAAACGGGAGGGTATGTGGAGCAGCAAGAGGAGAGGGTTGCAGAGCTGTGGAGTAGATTGGGTGAAGCACCTAAGAGCCTGATTGAGAAAGACAGTACTCTGGGAGAGAAAGATGCGATTTTCGGGGGCCTTCGGGACAACAAAAGAGATTCAGCGGGAGGAGGTTGAGGGGAGATTGGCTGAAGCGAATGAGGGTTTGAATGCGGGAGAGAAGGTTATATGGGGGATGGGAGAGGCGAGTGGGGGGTTGCAGGACCTGGTTGCGGGTTTGGAAGGGAGTAGAGAGGCGTTGGGAGAAGGGAGGAGGGTTCTGGTAGAGCGGATTGAGGGTTTAAGGGAGAGGATTGCAGAGGCGGAGAGATGGGTTGCTGAGGCGGAGAGGGGAAGGGATGTTGTGGCGGCAAAGGCGGCTGCCAGGGTGGCGGAGGCCGAGGGTGACGTGGCGGAGAAGCGCGCTGAGCTGGCGCTGGCAAACCAGGAGCTGGCGGTGCGCGCGGGAAAGATTGCTGAGCTGTCATGGCAACTGGAGTTGGCCAAGGCTACTGTGAAGGTGAGGAGGAGAGAATTGTAATCACCCCTTTTCCCCCCTCCCCTCCCACACACCCGCATCTCGCCTTCCCCTCCATCCCCCTCCCTCCCCCCCTCCCTCCATTCTCAATACCTCCCCCGCTTCTCAATACCTCCCCCGCTTCTCAATACCTCCCCCGCTTCTCAATACCTCCCCCGCTTCTCAATACCTCCCCCGCTTCTCAATACCTCCCCCGCTTCTCAATACCTCCCCCGCTTCTTGTCCTTCTCTCTGCTTCTTCTTCCTCTCCCCTCCCGGTATCCACACCACCATGTGAATTGCATTCTCATGCTTGGAATGGTGTATGGTGTGAGGGATGAGGGGAAGTAGAAGGGGGAGATAACCCATCTATACCCTCTTCATCTCCCCTCCTTCACCCTCTCCCCTTCCCCTCTCCCTCTCCTCCCTCCCCCCCTCGCCCCCCTCTCGCGTCCCCCTATCCGCATTCCCCCCCTCCCCCCCCCCGCCCCCGCCTCCCCCTTTCCCCCCTCCGCCCATCCACAGCACCAAGCGGACCTCATTTCAATGCTTGACATGGCGTGTGTGCTGAGGGGGGAAGAGATGAGGAAGTTTGGGGCGGCAGAGGAAGAGGCCTTGGAACGAATGATTGGCAGAGAATTAGGTGGGTTGGTTGTGGTGCGCCTTAGGATATTGATTTCTTAACATCGAGGCGCCTCAGTAGCTCTGTTTTGAAGCGGCTCTAAAGGCAATGAAGAGGATATTGGACAAACCGGTGGGTTGAGTTTTGAGGTGCCTAATTAATCGCCTCATTCCACGTGGGTTGATTGGCCAGAGCTTGATGTTTTGGGTGCTGGGGTGGGTGCGTGCTTGAGCACGGGACAAGGAAGGAGATGAAGGAGGAGGGTAGGAAGCAGGGGTGCTATGACAGCAGTGCTATGGGTGGGTGTTGTTTATCACACCACAACTGTGATGGATTAAGAGGTAAAGATGGTTATGAAGGGCAATGGAGTTGGGGGTGGAGAGGGATACAGCAGAGGGGATGGATGACTGGCAGCATTGGGCCCCACCTTATCCCACCACCTCCAAACCCCAGCATTTCTCCTACCCCATCCCATCCAATCCCATCCCATCCCCCTCCATCATCGTATCTCACAACATCCTATCCCATCCCACCCCCCACTCCCTCCCCCCCTCCATCATCACCCATCCCTAATTCCCATTTCACTCTATCCAGATTGCAGATCCAAGAGCCAAGCTGCAATCCCGTGACATCTCACCCAACCCTATCCCATCACTTCACACCCCGCCCCATCCCTCCCCTTACTGCTTCCCATTGCACTCCATCTAAATCGCTGATCTGAGAGCCAAGCCGTGTGTCGTCCTGTCTCAGATACAGCTGAGAGTGAAATGGGCCGTGCCTTCACCTGCTGGGAACAACATCAAGCTACCAGCCATCGAAGCGAAGCAGTTTCAGGGAGCACTAAGAGGAGAGCTTGGGGTTGTGATATGGTTTCCAGGTTAACCACAGTGGTATCGGAGAGGAGAGGGAGGGGGTGAAGGCAGATTTTTGAAGGTGAGAGTTAAAGGGGCCGCTGGAAGTAACGCCAAGCTGTCCTCTATCAAAGCGAAGCCGGTGAAGTGAAGTGAACAGCAAAGTATCGAGGGACCACCAGAGCTGTCTTGCCTGCCTTACATGGCGCTCACTAGTCACTATCGCTTCCGTTCTTTGGTTCAATTTGACCCATATTAGGATTGACGTGCCGTGCAGCCTTAGTTGATCATATTATGAAGATCGATTGTGCCAGCAACCATGAGCTTGTCAGGAGTTACCGAACAAGGTTTTGTTTCAACAAAATGCATACACCAGTACAACTGTGAGCTACAAAAAGTTACTAGAACAACACAGCAGAGACATATTTTCGGAATTTACAACTAGAAGAAGCATTTCCATTGAAATATAGAGGTATTGAACCTCTCTCCACCTTTTCTCATCCCTTAGTCAACCTCCTCAATCTTTGGCTCATCACCTCCGCTCGACCTACCCCCCATTGGCACATCCCCCATACCCCCCGCTCCTGGCACCGGTCCAGCCCCAGCCTGGTACATTTTCGCGATGATCGGGTTACAAATGCCCTCCAGCTCCTTCTGCTTGTCTTCGAATTCGTCCACGTCGGCGAGCTGGTTCTTATCCAGCCAATCAATCGTCTCGTCCACGGCCTTCTCGATCGCCTTCTTATCTTGAGGCGACAGCTTCCCCGCGATCTTGTCGTCACGTACGGTGTTACGCATGCCGTACGAATAATTCTCGAGCGTGTTCTTCGCCTCAACCCGTTTCTTGTGCTGCTCGTCGTCCTCCCTGTACTTCTCTGCTTCCTCCACCATCCGCTCGATTTCCTCCTTGCTCAGTCGGCCCTTATCATTCGTGATAGTGATCTTATTCTTCTGCCCGCTAGTCTTGTCCTCCGCGCTCACGTTCAGGATGCCGTTAGCGTCGATGTCGAACGTCACGGTGATCTGCGGCACGCCACGTGGCGCCGGCGGGATTCCCGAGAGCTCGAACTTCCCGAGCAGATTGTTATCCTTGGTCCGAGCGCGCTCACCTTCGTACACCTGAATTAGCACACCCGGCTGGTTATCCGAAAACGTCGAGAACACCTGCTCCTTCTTCGTCGGAATCGTGGAGTTCCTCGGAATCAGCACCGTCATCACCCCTCCAGCCGTCTCCAATCCGAGCGACAGCGGCGTCACGTCGAGCAGCAGCAGGTCCTGCACCTTCTCGTTCCCCTCGCCGCTCAGAATCGCCGCCTGAACCGCCGCGCCGTACGCAACGGCCTCGTCGGGGTTGATGCTCTTGCAGAGCTCCTTCCCGTTGAAGTACTCCTGCAGCAGCTGCTGCACCTTGGGAATGCGCGTCGAGCCGCCCACGAGCACCACATCATGAATCTGCGCCTTGGACATCTTCGCGTCCTTGAGGCATTTCTCCACGGGATCCATGCACTTCCGGAACATGTCCATGTTGAGCTCCTCGAAGCGCGCGCGGGTGATGGTGGTGTAGAAGTCGATTCCCTCGTAGAGCGAGTCGATCTCGATGGTCGTTTGCGCGGTGGAGGAGAGAGTTCGCTTGGCGCGCTCGCAGGCCGTGCGAAGTCGGCGAAGAGACCGCGGATTGTTACTCAAGTCTTTCTTATACTTTCGCTTGAACTCCTGAATGAAATGGTTTACCATGCGATTGTCGAAATCCTCACCACCCAAATGCGTGTCGCCAGCCGTCGCCTTCACTTCGAAAATGCCGTCCTCGATTGAAAGAAGCGACACGTCGAAGGTTCCCCCGCCGAGATCGAAAATGAGCACGTTTTTCTCCGTTGAGCTGCTGTTCTTCTTATCGAGACCGTACGCGATAGCAGCTGCGGTCGGCTCGTTGATGATTCGCATCACGTTCAGCCCAGCGATCGCACCCGCATCTTTCGTCGCCTGGCGCTGGGAATCATTGAAATAGGCAGGAACCGTTACCACTGCATTCTTCACGGTAGTCCCAAGGTACGCCTCTGCGATCTCCTTCATTTTCGTCAGCACCATGGACGAAATCTCTTCTGCGGCGAACTGCTTCGTCTCGCCCTTGTACTCGACTTGGATCATCGGCTTCTCGCCCGCGCCTGCGATCACCTTGAACGGCCACAGCTTGATGTCGCTCTGCACGGGCGCATCGGAGAACCGCCGTCCGATGAGACGCTTCGCATCTGTAAGAGACGAGTGGAGAAAATGACACGAGAAACAGCAAAACCGGGGAATGAGCGGGCAGGCGCATGTATGCGGTCATTTTATGCGGAAGGGTAGAGTAAGCGGAGTGTCATAAATGGTCGATGTTCTAGCATGGGGACGTACCGAAAACGGTGTTGACGGGATTCATGGACACTTGGTTCTTGGCTGCGTCGCCAATCAGGCGCTCCGTGTCCGTGAATGCCACGTAGGACGGGGTGGTGCGGTTGCCCTGGTCGTTGGCGATGATCTCAACGCGATCGTGCTGCCACACGCCCACGCAGCTGTAGGTCGTTCCGAGGTCGATGCCAATTGCAGGGCCTTCTCCCTTCGCCATTACTAAACGAGTTCCGAGGTACTGTGTTGAAAAGTGTGAACCCTTGGCTGAGTGATCTTCAGAAAAGTGTACGCGATCTAATACTAAAGGTTGAGTCTTGAGAGGCGCGAGAGCGTGATCGCCTAGATAGAGCCTTGATAGCTTATTTGCTGTTACGATTTGATGGAACCATGTCTGGGCGTGAACCTAGTTATATAGCGATGTTGAAGGGAGTAGGGGGCGTTCGGGTTTGGGGGGAAGATGGGCTTGCGGAAGCTGCCAGAAAGATGTGGAGTGGGGTTTCAATTCCAGCCTAGAAGCTGCTGGAATCACAGAGATGGGCAATTTCTACACATCTGGCAATAGCGCGGCACGAGAATGTCAGACTGGGCGTCTCGAGAACTTTCAGTTGCAGACGTGGCACTCATCTATTTGCTTTTCTAGATCGACGGTGCTTGCTGGCTCGCTCAAATCAAAAACGACGTTCACGAAACGTTGCGACTGCAACAGGCGACATTCACGCCAAACGGGGCAAAAACTGACGGTCGACGGGTTACTGTGGGAAAGTAGGCTGGTTCGAACCTTGCGACCGTGAGCTCGGCGAGCACTAACAGGCTGGGGCTCACTTCGCTAGCACGAAGAGTGGCGATTGGGAATTGAAGTTGAATGTGCAACGGTGGTTAACATAAGCGGCCAGGTAACGGTTTGTTATACCAGCTGGCAAACATAGTATTTTGCAATTATTTATAAGTGTGTTAAATTTGAGAAACCTGCTACATCAACTTGGCTCTCTTCACCTCTCTCCATGCCTGCAATCAACTCATTCATTTTCACATTCATCATTCCTCAGCCGTATTTTCCTAACCTCGTAAATTGTTGAGCTTCAATTCGGTCATTTGGGCTGCATCACAATGAAACGATCAAAATGCACCTCACACCGAAAAGCGTAACTGTCACGCACCGCATCAAGGCTGCCGCGGCGAATGCATGGAGCTAGCTGTTTGGGGCGCTGGAGCAACTTCTGACAATCAGGACTCTATTACGTATATCTGATGTCGTTAACACACACAGCACGCAGCCCTGCTACCTCGCGGACCACGTGTTACATTGAAAGAACTTCCCATGAGAACTTCCCCCCCCCTCCCCCTCCCCCCCGACGACCTCTACGGCTCCCCGCTCATGTTGGCGCCGAGCCAAGCTTTTCCCGCAGAAGCTCTCATCCCAAGCGGCCTCAGCCCCCTTCTCTTCTCACCCAAGGGGCTTCGTTCCCTGTCCATCTTACTCTCCCACACAAGGGTTTTTTTAGCATCCTTTCCTCTCACTCACCCACGCACAGGATCTCCGCCCCCTTCCCATCCACTCACCCAACGAACACGTTTCAGGCCTCTCGGGTAAGGCGAAGGAGAGTTATTTGAACCGCACAGGTAAGGCAAGGGCAAGAGAGGGTGGGGGGGCTGGAAATCCAAAGGCAGGGCGATTGAGGGGCAGGAGAGGGGGGTTGAGAGTCTGAGGTCAGGGCTCGCCAGAGGCAGAGAAGGGGGGTTCCCCTGCCCCTTGCTCGCCATGACCTCAGAGCCTTAACCTCCTTTCCCCCAAACGAACCCTCCCGAATGAACCCTCTCAAACAAAC